ATTTGGTCCGAAAATCAATTTTTTTCAAAATTTTAAAAATAATTGCCATATTTCAATTGGCGATTTTCGAAAAATCATAAGAGTCTTTGGATTATTTGGAAATGGTCTAGAACTGGTCAAAATTTTTTTAAAGGAGCGGTACTGAAAAATTGAGCTTTTGAAAAAATTGTCCAAAAATTTACAAAAAATTCTGGTATGTAGACCTCGTCGTTCTGATTGGGAAAATATAGCATGTTTATGGTTTCGGAGCAAAATTTCCGAAATATTCGGTTCGAAATTCAAACTTTTTCAAAATTTTAAAAATTGCCACTATATTTCCATTGGCGATTTTCGAAAAATGACAAGAGTTATCAAAGAAATGGAACTGAAAGTAACTTCTATAAGTCGAAATCTAGAAGAAAAGGTCTTTAGTTCATTTTCGAAAATGGTCTATAAATGGTCCAATTGTTTATAACGGCGCAGTATCGAAAAATTGAGCTTTTGAAAATGTTGACAAAAAATTCACACAAAATTCGGGTATATCTCGACGTATTATTTCGAAAAATATGGCGTGTTTATGGTGTCGTAGCACGATTTCACTCGGTTCGAATGTAATTGTTTCTCAAATTTTCATGCTAATTTCAATTGGCGATTTTCAAAAATAACAAGAGTTATGGAAGAAATAAGGCCGAAAGTAACTTCCAGAGGTAGAAATCTACCTACAAGAAAATGTCTTTGGTTAATTTTCGAAGGTGGTTTAAAAATCGTCAAAATTTTTATACCCATTGAAAAATTGAGCTCTTGGACAAGTTGTCTAAAAATTTACAAACAAAAATTCTGATATATAAATCTCTTTGTGCTGATTCGAAAATTATATCGTGTTTATGGTTCCGGAACAAGATTTGCGAAATATTCGTTTCGAAAATCAAATTTCTTCCAAAATTTTTAAAAATGCCACATTTCAACTAGAGATTTTTGAAAATTTTCAAAAAATGACAGGAATTATTAAAACAATGAGGCCAAAAACAATTTTCAGAGGTCGAAATGTAAAAAAAAATGTTTTTGAGTAATTTTCGAAAATGGTCTATAAATAGTACCAAATTTTTATTAAGGACCTTTTGAAAAAGTTGTCTAAAAATTCACAAAAAATTCGGGAATATAGATCTTGATGTACTGATTCGAAAAATATAGCGTCTCTATGATCCCGGATTTATGAAATATTCGGTTCGAAAGTATTTTTTTAATTTTAAAAATTGGCGATTTTCAAAATTAACAAGAGTTATCAAGAAATGAGGCAGAAAGTAACTTCTAGAGGTCAAAATCTACCTACAAGAAAATGTCTTTGGTTAATTTTCGAAGGTGGTCTAAAAATGGTCAAAATTTTAATACCTATTGAAAAATTGAGCTTTTGGAAAATTTGTCCAAAAATTCGTAAAAAAAAATCCGGTATATAGATCTCGATGTACTGACTCGAAAAATATCATGTTTATAGTCCCGGAAAAAGATTTGCAAAATTTTCGTTTCGAAAGTAAAATTTTTTTACTTTTAAAAACTACCATAATTTCATTGGCAATTTTCAAAAATTTTCGAAAAATGACAAGAGTTATTAAAAAAATGAGGCCGAAAACAACTTCTAGAAATCGAAATCTACAAGAACATGTCTTTGACTAATTTTCAAAAATGGTCTATAAATGTTCAAAATTTTTATAAATCAGCTTTTTCAAAAGTTTTCTAAAAATTCACAAAAAATCGAGTATATAGATCTCCAAGTACTGATTCGAAAAATCTCGCGTGTTTAATTCCAAAACAAAACAGCGAAATATTCGGTTCGAACGTCAAATTTCTCAAAATAAAAAAAAAAAAATGCAGCTATATTTTCAGTGTCGATTTTCGAAAAATGACAAGAATTTTCAAAGAAATGAGGCTAAAAATAACCTCCAGATTTAGAAAACTACAAGAAAATATCTGGTTAATTTTCGAAAATGATCGAAAAATGCTCAACATTTTTATATGGAGCCAGTATTAACAAATTGAGCTTTTGGACAAGTTGTCTAAAAATTCACAAAAACTTCTGATACAAAGATCTCGTCGTGCTGATTCGAAAAATATATGGTGTTTAGGGTCCCGGAGTAAGATTTGCAAAATTTCGTTTCGAAGTCAAATTTTTTCAAAATTTTAAAAAATGCCTTATTCAAGTCGGCGATTTTTGAAAAATGACAAGAGTTTTCAAAGAATTGAGTCTGAAAATAACTTCTAGAGTTCGAAACCTACAAGAAAATGCCTTTGCCTAATTTTCGAAAATGGTCTAGAAATGGTAAAAAAATGTATAAAGAAGTACTGAAAAATTGAGCTTTTGGAAAAGTTGTCTAAAAATCTACCAAAAAATTTTGGTGTATAGATCTCGATGTACTGATTCGAAAAATATAGCGTCATTATGATTCCGGAGCAAGATTTGCGAAACATTGAGTCCGGAAGTCAAATTTTTTAAAATCTAAAAATTGACATATTTTAACTGGCGATTCTCGAAAAATTACAGGAACTATCGAAGAAATGAGGCCCAAAGAAACTTGTGGAGTCTAAGTTTGTAAGACAATTTTCGAAAATGGTCTAGAAATGGTAAAAATTTATATAATGAAAAACTGACCTTTTGGAAAAGTTGTCTAAAAATTCATAAAAAATTCGGATATATAGATCTCGACATACTGATTCAAAAAATATATCATGTTTATGATTCCGGAGCAACATTTGCGAAATATTCGGTTTAAAAATCAAATTTTTAAAAATTTTAAAAATTGTCTCCATATTTCAATTAGCGATTTTCTAAAAATTACAAAAATTACGTATTAAAGAAATGAGGCCGAAAATAACTTCTAGAGATTGAAATTTACAAAAAAATGTTTGGCCAACTTTCGAAAATTGTCGAAGCGTGGTCACAGTTTTTATAAGGGGGCAGTAATAATAAATCCAGCTTGTGGAAAAGTTGTCTAAAAATTCACAAAAAATTCCGGTATGTAAATCTCAACGTACTGATTCGAAAAATATAGCGTCTTTATGAAAAATATGAATTTGTATACGTTATAAAAATTAAAGAAGATCATCATTTCAAAAATACTTTCAGATACGGTTCTGAGTGTAAGACCTATACTATAAATAACCCAAAAAAATAGGCAGTGTAAAAAAAAACGGTTAGAAATAAGTAAAAATGACTGTAATAACCGGTAGTTGACGTTTAGGATTGATAATTGTACCCCGCGTGTAAAAGTTTCCATTACGAATATGTTTGCTTCGGTTCCAGGGTCGGATTAGGTTGCCGCGCCCGAAAAGACAGGATTGGTAGAACACCTTGCAATTGTTTTAAACTGTATATAATTACAAAAAGTAAATGACACACACAATGTTCCTGTTCTGTGTTTAAACAAGTTTATAACTTTTACGCAAATAAAAATTAATAGAAATTATTTCATTATTTTTAATTTACTTGTCGTTGTATTTAATTAAAAAAAAAGAAATTTACTTGGATGTATATATAAAGATCTGAATAAATAAGACATGTGAAGAGGAATGAGGAAGACTCCAATTTATGTGTATACGAACAAATAAAAGCTCGACACGTGAGACACAATATTGGAATTAAGCCAACCAACAGTTCCAAGGGGCGAATATAAACGTATAAATAAAAATGAAAATTTTGTCACCGCGTCCGGAAAGCGCACATAATAAAGACATTCTTTCCGTTAAGTTGACAGCCAAAACATCGCATATAAATGTTACAAGATCATCGCGAATTCGTAACCTTGAAAATATTTAGTTTATTTAAAAAAACACCACAAAAGCTAGAAATTATGTAAATCTCCAACGCGAACAAGAGTCATTCTTGTAGCAAATCCTAATTAATTGCATTATAAAAGTTAATTCCCCAAAATCAGTAACCATCTATATTCTAATTAAAATTCCTAACCACTTTTTGGTAACACCCTATCGCAAATACCAGCACCGGGTGTGACACACAAAACGAAAAGAGCAACTGTACAAAAAACAAACATCAGATGAACAAACACGGATGACATTAAAAGGACAACATCTGCCGAATCAAGATCTAAAAGTGAAAAGTAAGCTTGCTCTTCGCGCTCATCGCATCCTTGAACGTAGGAGGACGTTTTTTTTTTTGCAAAAATCCACCCGTCAAGAAGGAAACGAAGGTCTCGGCAGGTCAACGATATTGTCACTCGAATAATGCAAGTTAATGTTCGCGGCTCGATGAAACCAGAGGCGTATCCGCAACCCCACCCAGCATATTAAATTATGATATTTAACTGCGCTAAGGCAATTTTCAACAGGATTTGAGAAATACTTATAAAATGTTAATGAGGATAATGATTTTTAATGCCGCTTCGTGCCATAATTAAAGGCGACAGATCGCAGATATTTCCCGAAACTCGTCCGACTCGTATTTTTCGAGAGCATAATTTTTATAATTTTAATTGCCGCTGAAGTGATATAAATTCATAATGATTCCAACACAAACATCCTTAGTTTTTTCTCTCGGTAAACATTCCTCACCACATCCGGTTCAAAATCCTTTGATACTAATACCAACCGGTACGGAAAAAATCAACCTTAACGCGAGCGCAAAAAAGCCCAAAACAGCCTTAAGGCTGCGGCAGCGATCGCTCAATTTCGACCATATTTGGTTAACTCGTTTTTTTTCGGCAAATATATGTATAACTAGATCGCTAATTGTGCAAGCTTTTTAGACTCGTTAACTCGATTTTTTAAATAATGTCATTAATTTGCTCTTGACGTGTCCGTTATCGATGTGAAGGGCGTTTCGCTCGATAATTTGTCAATAATACGAATTAAAAACGTATCAGAGACATCATTAGCTAATTAATTGAGGTCGGGACGAGCACAGGAAATGGGGGGATCTTCGCTACGCCCCCTATCAAATCGGATTAACCTTGATGAGTTTGTGATGTTGGACGTGTCAAGGCGGTGGTTATGATGCATGCTTTTTGTTACAGATATTCCTAAAAATGTGATAGCCCAAGACATCCCTTCCAGATCTCTATCGTCCACGGCGGCACTGTTTGCGCTGCAGAAACTCAAAGATGCCTCATTGTAAGTAAGAATTTTCATTGGTTAAATATAGGCAACTTTCATGCATTCAAGTCGTAGTAGTTAACACAAATTATTGGCAAAATAATTTTAAAATGTAAAGTATCGATAACCTTAAGAACTCTGAATGCATCAATAAATAGCTTGGCTGTTTTTTTTTTTTGAAAAAACAAAACGCTGAGATTTAAAAAGTAAAAAATAATGTATACTGGTCCTGCATGTACCTAGTTACTTAGAACTTTTATAGACACAAGAGGAATTTAATATTCACTTATTTTTAAAAACCAAAAAAAAAATTGAATAATTCAATGCACATATTTATTTTGAAAATATTTTTTTGAGTTATCGAAAAAAAATCATACAATTTTTCGAAGTGTTTTCAACTACTACAGTAAATATTTTATTACTTTCCAAATTACTTAAAAAAATCTCCACAATTCTTTATTTATTCAATTTTTCAAATTTTCAGGCTTTCATTTTTCAATTCCATGATTTTCCACGTTTAAAATTTTTCAATTTGCAGTTCTTGGATTTCCAGTCTTCCAATTTTTCAGTTTCTTTAATTTTCAATATTTTGATTTTACAATACCTACATAGGTATTTCTTTTTTTTATTTTTCGCTTTTTTGAATTTTAAGTTTTTCAATTTTTAATCTTTGGATTTTTCAAATTTTCGTTTCTTCAAATTTTCATGTTTGATTTTCACTTTTGACATTTTTCAAGTTTTCATCATAAACTTTTTCGTTTTTTTATTTTTGATTTTTCAGTTTTACAGTTTCTTGACGTCTAAATTTTTTAATTTTTCGATTTGCAATTTTTTAATTTTGCAATTTTTCGATATTACAGTTTCTCATTTTTCGATTTTTGAAATTCTCAGTTTTTAATTTTTGTCATTTTCAATTTTTCGTTTCCTCAATTTTTCAAGTTCTCGATTTTTATTTTTCATTTTCTCGAGTTTATGTCACAAATTTTCATTTTTTCAATTCCTTTATTTTTTGTTGTTTCTTTCCATTTTTCAATTTTTCGTTTCTTCGATATTTCGAATTTTCAGTTTCTCAATTTTTCGTTTCCACAATTTCTCATGTTCCCGATTTTTATTTTTCAATGTGGCGAATTTTTTATTTTTATTTTCTCGATGTATATCACAATTGTCCATTTCTTCATTTCCTTTATTTTCTGTGTGTTTTTTTCGATTTTACAATTTTTCAAACTTTCAGGCTTAGTATTTTCAGTTCGTCCATTTTTCAATTTTTAAATTTTTCACTTTGCAGTTTTTGGATTTCCAGACTTCCGATTTTTCAATTTCTTTAATTTTAAATATTTCTATTTCATAATACATGTTTCCTTTTTTTTTATTTTTCACTTTTTCGATTCTTAAGATTTTTCAACTTTGCATTTCGCAATTTCTCGTTCCTTCAATTTTTCGGTTTGCATCAGTTTTTTAATTTGGTAATTTTTCAATATTACAGATTTTCATTTTTCCCTTTTCCAGTTTTTTGTTTCGGATTTTTATTTTTCATTTTCCCGATTTTTTAATTTTCACTTTTTCGATTTTATATCACAATTTTCCTTTTTTTATTTCCTTTATTTTTTGTTGTTTCTTTCGATTTTACAATTTTTCCTTTATTAAATTTTTCCAATTTTCAGGTTTCTAGCAATTTTTCTTCAAATTGTCAAGTTTGATTTTCACTTTGTGCATTTTTTAAGTTTTTATTACACACATTTTCGTTTTTTTATTTTTGATTTTTCAATTTTACAATTTGTCATTTTTCCATTTTTCACATTCTCGATTTTTAATTGTGCCCTTTTTCAATTTTCCGTCCCCTCAATTTTTCAACTCCCCGATTTTTATTTTGCATTTTCCTAATTTTTTATTTTTCATTTTCTCGATTTTATATCACAATTTTTTGTTTTTTCATTTCCTTAATTTTTGTTGTTTCTTTCGATTTTCCAATTTTTCGTTAATTCAATTTTTCAAATTTTCGGGCCAATCGATTCTAATTCGTCGATTTTCCAATTTTTAAATTTTTCAGTTTGCAGTTTTTGGCTTTCCACCCCTTTTTTACTTTTTGGATTTTCAATTTTTCGTTAAACTTTAGATTTCTCAAATTTTTGACAGTTTTATACTTTCTTAATTTTTTTTTCAACTTTTCGATGTTTTAATTTTTCTATTTCAAAATTTCTCAATTTTTTTTATTTCTCGATTTATCGAATTCAGATGTTTGGATGTTTTGATTGCTCAATTTCTCAGTTTATCAATTTCTCAATTTTTTCTATTTGTCGATGTTTCGATTTTTGGATTTCTCGGTTTTTCGATTTTCCAATTTTTTGATGTTTCGATTTTTCAGTTATCCGATTTTTCAATTTTTTTAAATTCTGGAGTTTCGATTTGTCGATTTTTCAGTTTTTCGATTTTTAAGTTTTAGATTTTCGAATTTTTCTTTTTTGATTCTTTGATGTTTGGATTTCTCCATTTTTCAATTTTGCGATATTTCAATTGTTCAATGTTTTAAATTTTAGATTTTTCGATTTCTGGATTTTTGGAGTCTTAACGGCTTTTTGGTTAATTACTTTTTACAATTTTACAAAAATAACATTTCGAAATCTCAAATTACATCCCATCGTATTCCCAAAGTAATAAAAAATATTGAATTTGCGTGAAAATTTTCTAAAAATACAATACCCAATTTATTGTGTGGCTACACTGTTTTCACTTAGAACTTTTTTTATACTCAAATCGTATTAATATCAGGAAAACAACACATTTTTAATGAAATAATAATAAAGAAAATGAAAAAATAAATTGAAAATTATTTGGAATAACAAAGTTTTATAAGAACAATGAACAGGCCCAAAACACAGTTTTATTACTGACAGTTTTGTAACAAAAAACAAAACAGGGAAATTTATAATGCCAAAAATTTTACAAAAAAAGTACCTGCTAAGGTAAAACTGATTTTGGCAAATGACATACCCTCTCACGAAAGAGAGGGCGGGTGGGCGGGGCTAGTACTTGCCAAGATAAGACTGGTTTTGGCAAATGATCTACTCTCTAAGAAAAGAGAGGGCGGGTGGGCGGGGCTAGTACTTGCCAAGATAAGACTGATTTTGGCAAATGACGTATTCTCTAAGAAAATAAAGGGGGGGCTAGTACTTGCTAAGATAAGGCTGATTTTAGCAAATGACGTATCCTCTAAGAAATTTAATTAAATTATTGTAACAAAGGACATTAGAGGCTTCAAAGCACTTTCAAATTCTTTCCAAACAGAAATACCTTGAACCTCGTGATTGTTTTAAATTTTTCAAAAAGGAATTTAATCTTCTGTTATTTTTAAAAATAAAAAAACAAAATTTTCAATATTTCAGTGTTCAATGTATAAAATTCTGGGGATTGTAACCTAACTATTTTTCATTCGAAAATACTAATATTTTGAAAATAATGAATGCATTAATAAATCGCTTGGCAGGTTTTTTTTGAAAAAACAAAACGCTGAGATTTATAAAGTAAACAATTTGACAAGAAAAACAAAATATCAACACGAAGGGAATTTGAAGTCTTAAGGGCTTTTTTGTTAATTATTTTTTACAAAAATAAAATTTCGAGATCTCAAATTACATCCCATCGTATTCCCAAAGTAATAAAAAAATATTGAATTTGCGTGAAAATTTTCTAAAAAATACAATACCCAATTTATTGAGTAAATAGTGGCCACACTGTATTCACTTAGAACTTTTTTTATACTCAAATCGTATTAATATCAGGAAAACAACACATTTTTAATGAAATAATAATAAAGAAAATGAAAAAATAAATTGAAAATTATTTGGAATAACAAAGTTTTATAAGAACAATGAACAGGCCCAAAACACAGTTTTATTACTGACAGTTTTGTAACAAAAAACAAAACAGCGAAATTTATAATGCCAAAAATTTTACAAAAAAAGTACCTGCTAAGGTAAAACTGATTTTGGCAAATGACATACCCTCTCACGAAAGAGAGGGCGGGTGGGCGGGGCTAGTACTTGCCAAGATAAGACTGATTTTGGCAAATGACATATGGTCTAAGAAAATAGAGGGGGGGGGGGCTAGTACTTGCTAAGATAAGACTGATTTTACCAAATGACGTATCCTCTAAGAAATTTAATTAAATTATTATAAGAAAAGACACTAGAGGCTCCAAAGAACTTTCAAATTCTTTCCAAACCCAAATACCTAGAACCTCAAGATTGTTTTAAATTTTTCAAAAAGGAATTTAATCTTCTCTTCTTTTTAAAAATAAAAAAACTAAATTTTTAATATTTCAGTGTTCAATTTATAAAATTCTGGGGATTGTGAACTATTTTTCATTTGAAAATACTAATATTTTGAAAATAATTATTTGAGCTTTCAAAAATGAGCATACACTTTTCAAATTGTTTAAATTATGAAATTAAGAAGACTCTGAAGTCTTATTAGTTATTGTTAGTTTTTTTTTACAATTGTACGAAAAGTAACATTTCGAAAACTCAAATTACATCACTATTTTATTATTGACCAAAATAAAAAAAAAATTGAATTTGGCGAACATTTTCTAAACAAAATTATACAATAGTTTCTGGATACTGAACTTATTGTGTAAATAGTTGCCACACTATATATCTATTCACTTAGAACTTTTATACGTTAAATTATATGCAACAATGCCAAAAATTTTACAAAAAAAAGACGAAATCTCGACACAAAAGAAATTTTATCGTCTCTTATTTTTTAAAATAAAAAAAAAAGAATTTGAACATTTCAATGCTCAATTTATAGTATTGTGAGGATATATATATATTTGAAAATACTCATACTTGGAAAATATTCTTTTGAGTTTTCAAAAATGAATCATACAATTTTCAAAGTGCTTCAAATATTATAGTCAATATTTTATTACTTTTCAAATTACTTAAGAAAAATCTCTACAATACTGACGTGGGGTATAAAACAATAAAAATCTCGTGAAACTAATGACAATGTAAATACATTAACAAAAATCTTAAGAATATCTGTTCAAATTATGAAATTAAGGAGACTTTAATGTTTTATTAACGGGTTTCTTGTTAGTTACTTTTTACTTTGTAATTAGAATACCTACAATAATTTTTGGATACTGAACTTATTGCTATGTTGGTGACATAGTAGTGAAAAAAATGAAAACATGAATTGAAACACAGTTTTACTACTGACAGAAAAAACAAAAAAGTGAAATTTATAAGGCCAAAAATTTTAGAAAAAAAAAGACGAACTCTAGACACAAAAGGAATTTAATCTCCTCCTATTTTGAAAAATAAAGAAAAAACACTCTTGTGAACATTTTAGTGCTGAATTTATAATATTTTGAAGATTTTAAACAATTTTTTATTTGAAAATATGTACTAATATTTTGAAAATATTTTTTTAAGTTTTCATAACTGAATCTGATAATTTTCAAAGTGTCTTCAACTGTTATATGATCGTTTTCCGGTTTGGGACCGTGTCAATTGAGTTTTTGGGCTCGACGTTTTGCACACATACTGAGTAACCGTGCTCTTTCGCCTTCTTCCTAATTTCTCAATTTCTCACCCCACTTCTGAAGATGCCACTTACGAAAGTGTACGAAACGTCTAGCCGAAAAACTCAATTGACACGGTCCCAACTCGAAAAACGATCATATATTGACTCCGATCGTGAAAGCCTCCGAAAGCATTTGCTATAGTCAATATTTTATTATTTTATTAAAAAAAATGACTTAAAACAATTTCTACAGTTCTATAACATTAGGGCCAGTTTATACAGCGTGTTATTGAAAGGTACGTACAAAATAAAATCTGCAATTGGTCTCGAAGTATGGGTGCTAAAATTAAAAAAAAAAGTTCAAGTAAAAGTGTTCTCTTTTTAGAGATAAAAATTATTAAAATTTATGTCCAAATTCGTTGTACGCCTCTGATAAAAAGGTCATCTTTCGTTTCTACAGCAACAAAAGGGTCTCTTATTTTTCTATTATTGTTACAGCTGCTAGGATTTATTAAAATAAATTAATTTTACCTATTTATGCTTCAGTAGCGTGTAAAAAGGTTGGATAGGGGTTAATTTTTCCCTTATATGTAATTTTGATAACACAAATTAAGTTTTTCAGGCTTCTTAGACATCGCAAAGAACTGTCAATTTTGTTGTACGTACCTTTCAATAACACCCTGTAGAAAGCGAATTAAATATTTAATCGTCCATTAATTTAACAAAGGATTAAAATGTAGAATATGAGCATGTGATTATTTATGATAACCTCTATAAGTTAGGATAATTCCAGCAACATTTTTTGCAAACATTTGGATTTCTAGTGGAAAAACTTAAAGCTTATTCATAAACTACAAGTACAGAAATTAGTTCTTTTATAAAATTTAAATCATACTAGTAGCATTTTTCGCAAAAATGTGGAGTTTTAGTGAAAAAAATTACAGGCAGAATCATAAACCACAAAAACAGGAGTATCATATTTTATAAAGTTAATTGGTATTATTAGTTATAAAATTTAATTCTGTTTTTTTTATAATAATCCCTATAAGTTAAGATAATACCAGCAACGTTTTTCGCAAAAATCTGGATTTCTAAGGAAAACGCAAGGCGAATTCATGAATCATAAATACAGAAACGTTATTTTATAAAATTTAAATCGTATTTACATATTAATAATTTTAAAATTATAAAATTCGCTTTTTTATGATAACCCCTATAATTTAGGATAACACGAGCAACATTTTTTGCAAAAATTTAATTTCTAATGAAAAACTTAAGGCTTATTCATAAACTACGACTACAGAAATACGTTAATTTATAAAATTTAAATGGTATTTATTAATTGTGTTAATGTTATAAAATTTAACTTTGTGTTTTAATGCTAACCCCTATAAGTTAAGATAATACCAACATGTTTTGTAAAAATCTGGATTTCTAGGGAAAAAATTCAAGTCGGATTCATAGACCACAAATACAGGAATATGTTATTTTATAAAATTTAATTGGTATTTATTATGACAAATCTGAAGTGACGTCATTAAAGAGTTCGTGGAGATGATTAGACAAATTTTCGCAATTCATAATTTTATAACAAATAGTTCTGTAGTTTCACAACATTGATGGATTTTTCCGGCGAAACAGCAGTCATGAAAGCCAAGTTTTACCAAATTAGATAGCACTTAAATAAAAATCTAAAATTTTGTAGCTCTTGACAATATAATTTTTGAAAGGAATACAGTACTAAGAAGACTATTTTTTATTTAATTAAAAAATAAACTTAACTTCTGTTGTGTTAATAATAATAAAAAAATTGAAAAAGCGAACCACATAAAATAAATCTGTTAATTTCAAAATTGTAGAAAAAAATATGTTCATCTCTAACCTAAAGTGTTTTTTAAATTACAATCCCTCTGTGCTTAGCGTTTTGAAACGTCTTAAACTAGATAAATTAAATAATAATCATATATTTATATTAATTATTGCATTTATGTTATTAGAGAGTAAAATTAAAACTAAGCCAAACGAAAATTTTCTCTTCTAGGTCCATCTCAAGGACGTCCCCTGAAACTTCCATGGTCAAAAACGTCACCCTCAACAACAACAACATTAGCGAAGACAACCGCGCCGATCCCTCAATGAAGCGTCGAAAGATCCACCGGTGTGACGTCATGGGGTGTAACAAGGTGTACACGAAAAGTTCGCACCTGAAGGCGCACAAAAGGACGCATACAGGTACACAATACAGTCATTTTTAAGCGGAACACGAATTTTTCACTTTTATCTGTTCGCATTGCGAAGATTACCACCTGTTGATAATATTCCTGCTGGTAGCAATAAAATTCGCCTGAATAACCGAAGATGACGCATGTCGTTATGAGTGAAGTGGCGGTTTAATCGTCGGGAAGAAGATTAAATTTGCGTAAGATAAGGTTGCGGAAGCAAAGAAATTTGTTTTCATACAGCTGCAGATGTGGACGCTAACATAACCGAAAGCTTTGTCCCCAGTTTATCTACGGTGTTCATAAATTTGCTTTCTTTGTGTAGCGCGATTAATGTATTTATTTATCTGTTTATCTATGGGGTATAAATATTTATATGTAAATACGTAATATGTTTTGGGAAAAAGATAATCTAATGGCTGGCGTAAGCGTCATGTCCAACTAGAGCAGAAATTTAAAAAATCACCCGATATTCGATTCATCGGTGAATTAAAATAATAATATGTTCATTGTTGATGCTACCAACGTTGCCCACTCAATTTTAACCATCGCAGCTGACAAAAACCAAACAAAACAATGAGGATGTATGAAGTTATTGATGACACACGTCACTTACCTTCATTGCATTTTAATCAAGTTAGAGGTTGTCAAAAAACGCGGGCTGCAGCAACAAAGATAGTTTTATCTGATACACCCAACATGGAAAGAGAGGGAGAGAAAACGACACGCTGATGACTTTCGTAGATTACATTGTGCATACATATCTCTACAGGAAACAAATTTTTTAGTGCTAAACAATACACAATTATATTGGATTATTTTAATTTCGATTGACCCAATTTTCAATTTTTCTTTATTAATGAAAACCAATTGTCACATTATTTTTAAGGTAAATTGTGGTGTTGGTCGATCTTTATCATGTAAACAAATAATAAATAATGTTTAAAAATATTTACAAAGTTCACAACCAACTACTACAAAACATTTTCATTTACACTGATGATTAAATGTGTTTCTAACTTATCAAGCTTAAATTAGTGTCTTCCGTTACCCGCTCGGTTTTGGTAGATGGAATGGGGGAATATTTTAAACAAAAATCATACTCGTACGGTTAGCGACTTCTGAAATAATATAAAATTTACTGGAATCGATAAATTTCCAAAATTTACCACAAAACTAAACAAATGTGGATAAAAATCAGGTGGAATATGCAAAAAAATGCAAAATATGAATTTTGCATAAATCCGAGTGTCATAATAAATATCAAAATTCCAAATTTGTCATATTTAATAGATGTAAACGTCCGCCAAAAACTTATTACCTAATTCTCATAAAAAAAAAACGGAATCTTGTTTTTAGCAACTTTAAATCCAACTAAAAACAAAACAATTACAAAAACTGCCAGATTTAATTACCCATGTAGAAAAAAGCCCGTAAAACGAAAAGTCCCCACACAATCGCCAAAATCCCACCTAAAAAACCAACTCCAGGCCATACAAATTACAAGAGCAAACATAATTAGACCTGATCTAAAATTATTGGCATGAAATTTAAATAATTACCTTTTATGGCCGCCAATATGTCAAGATTTTCCCATAACGATTTCGCCTGATTTACAATGTATATTACAGCAAAAAGTGCAGGCTTATAACAGGCGGTCCAATTAATTACTCAACTTCAATGACACGAAATACGCCCAAGGAGAGACGGGTTTGGAGAGAAGAAACACGCAAAAAACGCTTCAATTGATAAACACGAAAGAAAAGATGGATTGCAGAGATATCGGATAAATCGTGTCAAAACAAAATCAACAGGTTTCTTGATCGTTCTATAATGAGTGACAAAGTGTTAATTTATTCGCTTTTTTTTCGGCTCTTATTTGCATCTCTTTGGACTTATTTAGATTGAGCTTGATCGATTTTTCCTTGCCTCGGAACAATAGAAAAGTGCGGCCTCGGCTCGGCCCACTCGTTACATAACGGATACATAACACATGCATCATATTAATAATGGATTTTGTCATTGGCGGGTTTTATCATTCCGAAATTTATTTTATTGGATGCTTCACACCTTTTTTACGTAATTTATTAGCGTTTTATTATATACGACACAGGTTTTTTGATTAGGAATCTATTATTGGTTTCTAAACAGTCAATAAATTGCGAAGCATCGCCGACGATAAATTAAGAAATAAAAAAGTCGCAAACGTGAAATGTATGAAAGGTTTGATTAGATTTAAATTAGTCGAAAAAAGAACCTTGACTGTGGTTCGGGTACCACACGTGAGAAGCGGAATTGTAGAATAGTGTTTTAATCATAAGTGGGAATTAAAAAAGTCAAAAACGTGGCAAAAAAAAACTATCTAAAATGATATTTCGCTGTTACGTATAGGAACAAGTATTCAAGGAAATGGGAACCGCATAATAGTTATTAATAAATCATTATTCAATTAAATGTGTTTTACTATGGCAGCTACAATAACCTACTGTTCAATATGTAAAGCAAAGCATTACTTATGCACGCAATTATTAATGTACCTGTTTCTAGTAAATGGAAAAGTGTTTTCGTTATCAAATATGATTCATGTTGTGTTAAATTGTCATGATAAAATATGTTAGAACTTAACCATTTATACCTTAGTTTTCTTTTCTGATTATTTCAGTAGTAGTCTCAACGATTTTAAACATCTAAGAAGTGAAATTTGGTAAAAAATAATTATTCGAATTTGTACGAACATTTTTTTATAACTTCATGTAACAAATTTTGAGTTTCCGAAAAATGTAAAAGAAAGCGTACCTGAAATACTATGTGAAAATTAAGTTTTCAAAATTTAGCATAAACAAAAAACAATTTTCTGAATTTAGCTCTGTGATGTCACATCAGAGTAGTAGTAAAATATTTGATATGTGGCCTATATGTCGTTTTTCAACTAAACCAACTGAAATTGTAAAACTAGAGTCAACTCGAATTCCTGATGTTGTAATATTTTCCAATAAATGCATATTTAATACCATTAACTTCAGCAATTTTCACATACTTGCAATTTTACATGATTTAATTAACATTTATAAAAGGCAACTAAGCAAACAAAGATTAAAATTCCACAATCTGTTAATATGTTAACTAAATTAATTTCTGGATTTATTAGAATTACTTAGTTTTCACTAGGTTTTCACATTGATGACAATTTTTCGATTTTTCAATTTTTCAATTTTTCAGTTTCTCGATTCGGAAGTCTTCAATAACTTAATTTTTCGATATTTGGATTTGAGAATGTTTTGATTTTTGATTTTGCGAGTTTTCGATTTTTTGAATTTCCCATTTCTCGATTTCTTGATTTTTCGTGTTTTCAGTTTTTCAATTTTTTCGATTTTTCGGTTTTTCCATTTTTTAGTTTATAGACTTTTCAGTTTTTCAATTTCACGATTTACCGAGATTTCGATGTTTCGATTCTTCGATTGTTCAGTTTTCCGATTTTCCGAGTTCTCAGTTTTTCGATTTATTGTTTTGTATTTAAAATTTTTCAATTTTTTATTTTTCGAAATTTTGACTTGGGCTATCTCGATTTCTCGATTTTTCGACTTCTCGACTTTTCAATTTCTCTATTATTTTATCTTTTGATCTTTCGATGTTTCAATTTTTTATTTTCCCACTTCGCGATTTCTCGGCTTCCCAATTTTTAAATTACTCGACTTCTCGATTTTTCGATTTTCCATCTTCGATTTCTCAATTTTTCGATATTTTAGTCTCGAAATTTTTCAGTTTCTTGATTTTCAATTCTTCGATTACTTAATTTGTGGATATTTGGGTTTTAGGATCTTATATTTTTTTAATTTTTGGGATTTCAATTTTTCGCGTTTCTAAATTTTCAAATTTGTGAATTCTTGATTAATCGTTTTTTTTTTTGAGTTCTCGATTTTTTGACTTTTCCATTTTTCAGTTTTCGATTTTTCAAGTTCTCAATCTTTCCACTTATTGTTTTATATTTAAAATTTTTCAATGTTTAATTTTTCGAATTTTCAACTTCAGGCTATTCGATTTCTCGAGTTTTAGACTTGTCGACTTCTCGGTTTTGCGATTTTTACATTGTTCAATTTTTGAATTTCTCGACTTCTTAATTTTTCGAGTTTTCAGTTTTTCAATTTTTTGATTTTTATCTTCCGATTTATCAGTTTTTCCATATTTTAGTTTTGCGATTTTTCAGTTCTTTTACTTCTTCAATTTTCCGATTTTTAATATCTTAATTTTTCAATTTTTCAGTTTCTTGATTTTCAATTCTTGAATTACTTAATTTGTGGATTCTGGGGTTTTAGGATTTTTCAATTTTTAGGTTTTTTAATTTTTTGTTATTACAATTTTTGGCGTTTGTATTTAATTTATCGATATTTGGGTTTTAGAATTTTTCAAGTTTTCGATTTTTTAATTATTGGCGTTTCGAAGTTTTCGAATTTTTGATTTTTCGTGTTTTCAGTTTATTATCGATTTTTCAACTTTTCGATTTCACGATTTACCCGGATTTCGGTGTTTCAATTTTTCGATTGCTCAGTTTTCCGATTTTTCAAGTTCTCAATTTTTAGATTTTATATTTAAAATTTTTCAATTTTTAATTTTTCAAATTTTCTACTATTTTGTGGATTTTTTATGTTTTGATTTTTCCATGTTTCAGTTTTTTGATGTTTCGGTTTTTCGATTTCTCGGTTTTTTAATTTTTCGGCTTTACGATTTTTAGATTGTCAAATTTTTCGATGTGTCAATTTCTTTATTTTCCCATTTCTCGATCTCTCGACTTTCCAATTTATTAATTTCTCGACTTCTCGATTTTTCATCTTTCAATTTCTCAATTTTCGATATTTTAGTTTTGGGATTTTTCAGTTTCTTGATTTTCAATTCTTCCACTACTTTTGCGAATTTTTGTTTCTCGATGAATCGTTTTTTTCGAGTCCTCGATTTTTTGACTTTCCCATTTCTCGGTTTTACATTTTTCGGTTTTTCAGTTTTTCGATTTTGGATTTT